GGCCCCCGCAGGTACGGCCGGGCCCCGCGCTGCGGGCGCTGCAGCCGCCCCGGGGGAGGGAGGGGGCTGGCAAAAGCTGTGGGGACGCCCTTTAGGAGAGGAAGGGCGACGTTAACGCTCTAAGTGCCAAATTTGTGGTTGGCTCTGCTGCTGAGTAGCCCCTGTTGAAGGTGCCTTCTTGCTCCACAGGGAGGAAATGTGCTTTTTCTGGTCACCAATTTCATCGCTACAGCCAAGCAGGCCCAGGGCACCTGTCCCGAGGTGAGTGAGCTGTGCTGTTCCTCAGCCCAGCACTGTGCTGGGTCCGATTTATAAAGCCAGTCAGTGCTGCTGTTCCGTAACCATACGGGAACTCAGCAGAGCCCAGGGCAAGACCAGATAGAAGGGAAAAGTGGGTTTTTGATACCAAACAAAACTGTTTCCCCTCGTTCTCATTGCTCCATAGATCTTGCTCGCTCATTTGCACTTGCTCTGTTATGCCTGCATGACCCAAGACGCATATCCAAGCAATCTGACCAGAATCACTTGTGGTGACCACAAGGACAAGGGACATGGGCTGTTGGGGCCTCACCAGCTCTCTGGGCTTCTTGCAGGGTGGTGACACTGATTTTTACAGGCTTTCTGCTGCCTTTGGACAAGGGCTGCTCTGAGGAGGCTGAGCTGTGTTGCTGTTGCATCTCTGCAGCGCGGCTGGCATCAGCACTGCCATCCCAGCTCATGCCTTTCTCTCTTACCTGTGTTCCTGCTTGAGTCTCACATATATTCTTGGTTTCTTGACTTGCTGCTTCATTCTTTTACCTCTGTTCTGTCATTTTTTCCTGATGCTTTTACACAAACTCCATGGATACCTGTGTCATGCTTCCTTCATAACTCTCTGCGGCAGGACTAGTATCTGCTCTATCTTATTGTCCTATTTTTAGGAGGGACTGAGCACAGGGTCTAGGTGGTTTCCCAGTCAGCCAGCACTTGGTGGTATAGGTTCTCAGGGAGAAATCTTCCCTTTAAGGCTGGATGCAGGCCAGCTCCTCAACTGAGCTCTCCCAAGCTGGATCCTGCTTGGCAGACAGGAGCAAATGTCTTTTAAGCTAAGCCACTGCTGGCACCTTGTGCCTGAGCCAAGCACTGTCTGTCTTAATGGTCCCTTCGGCTCTTCTTGCTGCAGCCTGCTGTGCTGTGCCCAGCCTGATCCTGCTTCCCAGCTTGCCCTGTGCTGCAGGCTGCTGGGCTGGGCTGCTCTCCAAACACAGAGGCTGCAGGAGAGGAGGAGCCACCCAGGTTTGGGTCAAAGAAAATGGCACTAATGATTCCTCTTTAAAATGCTGAGAACTCCTAAAGTGCTGATAGTTGCAGAACAACCCCAGGGGAAGCCATGTGCCGTAGAGCATTTCAGGGCACTCTCACAGGCAGTCAGGGGCGTCTTTGGATGCTTATTTTTGCAGTGCACAAGCCAAGGGTGCAGAGCAAGCAGAGCGTTTCATCCCGCTGCAGTGCCGCGGTGTGCCTGAGCGCCTGCCGCAGCCTTCACCCCGTGCTGCTCGCCAGCAGTTTCCCAGTTCCTGGCTTTGGGGCTGTAGCTGACATTCATGTTTGGAAAGCTTTGAAGATTTAACAGTGACAGCTTTTGACTTCGCAGTAAGTTCTGAATATTCTCAATTGCCAAAGTAGTCTGTGCTGGCAGACCAGGGAGAAGTCTGGCTGGGGCCAGAGGCAGCACCCAAATGCAGGATGGGGTTTTTTTAGCAGCTGATGTCTGTGTTGAGCTCAGGTCTGTGGCTGAGCTGTGACTTAGCTCTTGAGGAAAACTTTTGATGTTCATCTCAAATACTTTGAGTGGTTGGAAACCCTCTGCCCCCATTTGCAAGGTGCTCTGAAGGCTGGTGGAGGTGATCAAAGTGGACTCAGAAGGCATTAGTCAGATGCAAGCTCTGGGGCTAAGGGACCACTTCACTTAAATCATGGTGATTTAAATCCAGCTGGGCCCGGCTCTTCCAGGTCCAGGTGCTGCTGGTGGGCCTGCACATGAGTGGCACTGGTCCCAGCCCCAAGCAACGCAGGACCATGTCCTCAGGGGTTGAGGGGGGGTTAGATTTTGGGAGCAGCCTCATCCATCTCGGTTCACATGTGGCACTGCTGGCGGTTTGCTCTCCCAGAAGGCTCACTTTGCTTCCCGGCCCCTGGGACGTGGCTGCATAGCCGTTGAGGGCTGGGGGTCAGCAACTGTTTCTAGTGGGGTTAAGAATAAAGCCATTTGCTACACACATATTTGTGACTACAGAAAGTAAATACGAAACTCAGCCCAGAGGTTCCTAGTGTTGTGCACAGATCTCTGCTGCCAGCACAAGCACCTCTGCTGCCCTTGCCTGAAATCACTCCTGTCCCAGGAGCACAAGTGCTACAAACTCTGAGCAGCACCTGAGCTCTGATGTGAGCACCTTGGGGGATGCCTTCTGAAAACGTGTTCACGTGCTTGTCCAGAAACCTCTTCCATGTGCTGGTGTGCTCATGTTCCTCTCTTGTCCCAAACCTGCAGCTCTTGGGTAGGTTCCTAGAGAAACGTGTTACTCCTAATTTTCTCAGGGTTTCAGACCCTTCCACGACCAAGATGCAGCAATGGTTTCAAGAGCTTCAGGAGCACAGATCCAGGGTCCCGTGGGGGCTTTTACCTGAGTCTGGGTCTCTTTGCTTCTCTCACAACACGCTTGTGGCACACGTAACCCGGTTTGGATCATGGAGAATGCCAGCGCTGACAGGTTGGTTTTTTTTTTCAAGACTCATTTCCACTGGAAGGCGGTAGGGGAGGTTGAAACCTTCTTGGCCAAGTTTTAAGTTTTCTGTAACACCATCACAGACTTCAGTACCTGAATTTCTCCCAAGCTTTGCAGCTTGTGTGCCCCGAATACCCAGAAGTGTCTGTCAGCCAAGTGGCACTTGTCATGTGTCCTGTTACCTGGGCTTGGGAAGGGACTGACACGCTCATCTGCAGGTTCCAGGGTCCTTCTGGAGGCTGAATCCTTGACATCTGGTTTGGATCCAGGATGACAAATAAGCACTCTCAAGAGTGCTTATTACAGCGTCGTAGGCGGGTGCTGCAAGCTACGAGTGTGCCATCAGCGGGGAGGAGGGGTGTAAATCTGGCAGCCACCCTTCTCCAGCAGTCAGGCAGGGCTCCCTGGGCTCTCCAGTAGTCCTGTGGGCTGGCCTGAGATACCCTGTCTTGCTCCCAGGCCACCTCCTCCCCGGCCTATGTGGCCTGACGTTTGCCGTGAGTCACACGTCCACGTGCACACCTGCATCGCAGCAGCTGGTGCCCGGGCACGAGGGTCCCTGCGACGACCGGTGGTCCTTCTCAGATCACCCAAATTCTGCCTTTTCCATGCCTTTTCTTCCTCCCCTAAATGTCCTGTGCAATCCCAAACTGCTCTTCTCCTGCATCTGATGATTCCCATACCCCTGGGCAGTGACTGCCCCCTCCCAGCCCAAAGGTGCTTCAGAGAGCTGATCCTCTCAGCTCATGGTGGTGGGTTTCACACCTGGAACAAGGGGCTGAGGTTGTTCTGGGCAGACCCCCTGCTTCTGACTCCATCACTGGGGTTTCCCCCCCTCCAGCCTTTGGGCCTCTGTGCCCCTCTGGGCTTGGGGAGGTGGGTTTCTGATGGGCTGGTGACCCGTGGGAGTAGCTGGGGGAAGATGTGACTTGTATTCCTCCACCTGCCGTTGTCTCTCTGTGTGTGAATGGGAGCTTTTTGTCGCTCCTGGCAATCAGAAAGGTCCAGAGTGAGGGTGAAGCTTTCTGCTTTACAAAACTTGTGTTACGCTGTGTGTAGGGTCTTTTCAGCTCTTCGCGAGGGGAACTCTGATGGTGCTTTACAAGGTGCTTAACGGGCTCTGCCACTGAGGCCCTCCTGAACCCAGCTGTGCTTGTCCCCGATTCCAGCTGAAAGCTCTGAGGTAGCTCCTGAGGCTTCCTCCACTTCGGAGGTGGAGGCGGCGAGGGCCCCAGAGAGCGCAGAGGCGGGCGGGAAGGATTGCCCCTCGGAGATCCCTCCCCCTCGCTGGCTGGGGGCTGCCCGGGTGCTGGACATGGTGGCTGTCTTCTGGAAGCGCTGGGAACGTGCTCGGGGAAACGGGAGCAGCAGCACAGAAACGTGGGTGAGTGACCACGTGGCCTCAGGTGGCCGCGCAGTGACAGCTCCTCTCTCTCTCTCAGAGCCCCTCTGTTCTCGATGCGCTGTGCACGGAGGATGCAGACTGTCCCGTGGGAAACCCAGTGGTTCGTGGCAACGGTACTGGGTGACCCAGTGGTTCGTGGCAATGGTACTGGGTGTTTTGCTAAAAACCCCCCATAAAATCGTTTAATTGCTCATGCTTGGTAGGAAGCAGAGCCCCAAAAGTGCCTGATTGCCCAAGGTCCGTGCTTTCTGTAAGCGTGGACCGAGTGCTCACCAGACGTTTGCTCTTGGCCAAGCCTCGCAGCGACCCGTCAC